GGGATTACAGGCTTGAGCCACCGCGCCCGGCCCTATTAACTGTTTTTTTAAAAATATTTTTAAATTTTAAAATAAAAAATGAGATGGGGTCTCGCTATGTTGGTCAGGTTGGTCTTGAACTCTTGGCCTTAAGCAATCCCCCCAAGTGGACTCCCAATGTACTAAGATTACAGGTGTGAGCCACCACACCTAGCCTTTTCATTAACTCTTACTTTTCACTTGCACCCTGCTATGGTCTAAATGTTGCTGTCCCTCAATAGTCCCCCACTTTCCTTTGGGAAGTAATTAAGCCATGAGAGTTCCACCCTCATAAATAGATTAGTGCCCTTATAAAAAAGGCTTGAATGAGCTCCCTTCCACCTTCCACCACTTGAGGATGCAGCAGGAAGGCGCCATCTTTAAAGCAGAGAGCAACCCCACGCCAGGGCTCTTGGCACCCTGATCTTGGACTTCCTGAATCTGTGGCTGCCTTAACCTTGGACTTCTATCCTCTAGCACTGAGAGCAATACATTTCTATTTGTAAATTATTCTATCTGTACTTTATTATAGCAACCCAAACAAACAAAGACACTACTCCTATAATCATTACCATTCTATCCACTTAGGGCTGGGGCATGATAAAAAGAGAAAAAATCATTACCATTCTAACCCCTAAACCTGTTCTTTCCTCTCTATTCTCACTATCTTAATCCAGGGCCTCCCATTTCCCGTGGCCTTTTACTAGAAGCTTCCAGTCTCCTGGTCTTGGCAATCTCTTTCACTGCTGTCAGAATTCTTCCAAGACAAACATTCGTGTTTCTCCTCAAAAAACCTTGGGTCCTAATAGTGATGGTCACTATTGGTGTCATATTGTTTCTGGGTATGTCTGTGAGGAGACAAACATTTGAGTCAGTGGACTGGGAGAGGAAGACCCACCTCAGTATGGGTGAGCACCATCCAATCAGCTGCCAGTGCAGCTAGAACCAAGCACCGAATGGGGGTATAAGCAGCTTGCTGCGTCTTCTGGCTCTTTCTTTCCTGCGTCAGACACTTGCTTCCTTTCTTCCTGCCCTTAGACATCAGACTCCAGGTTCTTCAG